TAACAAATCACTCATGAATGTGCAGACCCATGGACTATTTCTTTCCTGTTTCAGCATTAAGTACCTATGCATCTTTAACCACTCCTTCCCTTTACTTTCTTCCACATTTGAGAGAATCTGCCTACGAGGTTTACACTGTTTATAGACTAGGTGTGATGGCTAATCCTGGGTGTCAACTTGACTGGATCTAGGATTAACTGAAATGAGAGAGATCTTCTTAATTGGATCATCTGAAGCTGGAAGACACACCCTAAATGTGGGTGTTACCTTCTGATGGCAGCCAGTATAAAAGGCCATGGCAGAGGAGAACGCCTGGCTCATTGCTGCTTGCCTTCTCTCTCGCTGGTGAGTGCATCTTACTGCTGTAGACTGAAGACTAGCCGATCTTTTGGAATTCATCAGACCTTCAGTGCCAGATCGGGACTACTGAGACATCCAGCCTCGTGGACTGAGTGACTACGGATTCTCTGCCTCTCCAGTGTGGTGCAGCTATCACTGGACTACTCGGACTCTATGTTGTGAGCTAAGCTTATAAATCCCTATACATATATATTCATTCTATCTGTTCTGTTTCTTTGGAGAACCCTAATACACTAGGTAACAAACTTCCCTTCCGTTATTTTAAAACAGCTCATTTTAAGAACTATCCTGAGACAATTATCAATGCAAACATAAGGAGACTTTTTCCAGTTCCTTAAGGAGACACTGCTCGGCTTTTTGCACCAAGTTCTGGCTAAGTATATAAGCAACCAGTACTTGTAGTTTACAACCGCACTAGAAAACCTGCTTCATCTCACTTACTATAATATAAAGAAAACTTGACCATTCGAACCTACAAAAACATGCAAAAGAAGACTGGACTGATGCTTATCAGTAAATCCATTTAATTGCAAATGCTACTTTAACTGATAGAACTAGTATGCTAAGGGCATTTATTCAGAAACCTGGAAGAAAGAATTCTATACTATGAGTAACTTTTTAGTTGATGTGCCTTTTTTGGTATTAAAAGTGGTACTAAGACATCTTGTGGCACAGTGAACTAATCGTGTTCCTATGAGGCATTTTTTTCTTGTAGTATTTTCCCCTTAATTTTTATTTAGCACAATAAACCACTCTGATAAATTATTTTTTGTCAAATCAGAGTGACATAAACAAATAGACTTCACTCCACAATGATAGTCTCTAGTGGGACTGTAGTCTCTGATTAAGTTAAAAAATGTTCAATGAAGTATTTTAAAATGAGATTTTAGGTTAGTATACTTATCACAAAAAGTCCAAGGTTGTATGATTTAAAAAACATCATTAAAACAGATGCAACCATATGAATCTATGTTTTTGAAGCTTTAAAAATTTGTAGATGGTAATGATTGTCCTAAAACTAGGCTGTGTCCTTTTGTAAGAACCTTATTACAGGACAGTTACTTGACCCTATAATGGAGTGCACTTTCCATTCAAGAGAGTCAAAAAGTGCCTAGCTATATAAAACTTTAAGGTTCCAAAGTTTAAATTAAGCTATTTGAATTTATATATTAGAGTTGACAAAAATCTGTATCTTTTTCACACAGATTTAATCTAATTATTCATATTGTTTAATAGCCACATAAACTCATTGTGTACTAATGGGAAGAAGAGCACCCACACCCACCACCCCCTCCAAGGCTCAGGGACTTTTTGGGAAGAGATTGGCAGAAAGAATGTAAGAGCCGGAGGAAGGGGTGGAGTTCCTCTGACCACTATGCTTGCAAGCTATAGTCACACCTCCTTCCCATGGCCATCAAGGAATCGAGGGAAGAGTCAGTTACCCCTCCCACCCAATCAGTTGGCCTTAGCTGCATGTGGGGTGAAGGGCATATACATATGCTGAGAACACCAAGAGGCACCTCTCTCAGCATTTTGTGGGTCTGTTGGGAGGTCACAGGATCTGTATTTGAGTGTGGACTTTACAGCGCAGCCATAAATGTGTGGTGCCCACTCTTGTGTAAATAAACCCCTATGCTCTGTAAATAAATAAATTAATTAAAAAAAACTCATTGTGTACTGAATAAGCGGGCTCTACTACTGGAACTTAATATTGAGATTTTGTTAATTTATTCATAGGGTGTGTTTGTAAGGAACTGTGGTATGGATTAGAAAACCTGGAATGACTTTGAAGAAACCTTGGAATAAGACTGGAAGGATGATAGGAAAAAGTGAGTCTAAGGCAGGACGATTTACTGCATTGTTTTGCGGTCTTTTGGAGACAGGGTCTTCCTGTAGTCCCAGTTGGCCTGGAACGGCTATCTAGACTAGGCTGGCCTTGAACTCAGAGCTCTGCCTGCCACTGCCTCCCAAGTGCTGGGAAAAAAAAATTGTGTACCACCACGCCCAGCAGATTTACTTACTGCATTGTTCTTAACCAGGGTGTCAAGTATCAGGATTGAGTTTAAGTTAAAATCCACAGGAGAATGGAAACACTTTAAGGTCAGTTACCTCACAAGTCCATCATAATACTGTGAATAATCTGGAAAATTGCAGTTTCACAAATGCTAAAAATGAAGAGAGCTGCAGGTCTGTTTGCTGCTGGGAACCTAGGGAAAAGTGAAAGGAAGCCCAAGAACTGGACAGTGCAGCCCTCAGCCTTGAAAGCAAATCATTATTTGTTTTTCATTTGTTTATTTTATGTGTGTGAGTGTTTGGGTTGCATGTATGTAAAGGCAGCCATGCATGCAATAGCTGTAGAGGCCAGAAGAGGGCAGTTGATTCCCTGGAATTGGCGTTTGGGTGGGAACTCAATCCAGATCCTCTGCAAGAGCATCCAGTACTTTTAATCACTGAGCCAGCTCTCCAGATTCCCCCACCGTCAGCTTTGTGTGTGATGCAAAGGATTGAAACTGGGATCCCATGCATACTAGGCAAGTGTTCTCCCACTAAGCTCTCACGTCATTCCTTTTTGATGAATATTTTCAAAATCCTTTCTTCTAACTTATTGAAATACACAATACACTATGCTTTTAGAGACAGGGCTTCAAGCTTGCTTATAGCTAAAGCAGACTTTGAAACTTCTGATCCTCCTGCCTCCTCTTTCCAGCTAAGTACCCAATTGCCACCACTTGCAGCTAAGTCCATGATTATTATCAATATTTCCTGTTAAGCTTTGGTTTGTATTTCCTTGTAACTAAGATACTGGGTATAATTTCACATGCTTATTTTGGGTATATCTTTTTGGCTAGATTCCTGTTCAGATCATTTCCACATTTTTAGTGTAGGTATTTAACTCTGTTATTATTGAATTATATTAGTTGTACTCTAAATACAAGTCCTTGGTCAGACATAGGATTTGCAAATTTTTCTTCATCATATGTTATTTTTGGTCTTTTTGAGACAGGGTCTTCCTGTAGCCCTAGCTGGCCTGGATTCGCTATGGAGACCAGGTTGGCCTCGAACTCACAGAAAAAAAGTCACTGCAAGCAAATATTAGAACATCATTTCTGCTAAGGTCACATGACAGATGTCAATTTTGAACCTATGTCCACATTAGCATTTATCTTATTTCAGCAAAAATCAAAATTCCAGTAGGATAAGAGACTGTGTAAATGGTTCTTACCTTGATGGCTTTCAATGCATGTGTTCTTTCAATTTCTGCAAGCTCAAGGACATTTGCTCCGTTAACTCCATAGGAACACGGCCACACACTACATCAGTACTGAAGAAGATGGATTCATGAATCCATCTATAGTCTGTAGATACCGCTGTCACTGTTCCCCTGACAGACTTCAAGTGGGCATGTTCTACAAAACAGATAAAAGTCACACTGGTTCGTGTCAAACGCAAAAAGGCAGCGTGAAAAACACGACCATGACCACCTGTATAGACATGAGCATATTACAACACTTTTTTGACCATATAGTTGCCTGTCAAATGAAGACAGTCGCCATTTCTGCCCCATAAGGTTCTTGTGACATGCACATGTCTTCAGTTTCATCTGTGGGAAACACATATGAGTATGACCGAAAATGTTGTGATCATCACAGCTGTTCAGGAAACCTCTCTAAAATCTCTATCATGACTCTACACATTCTTCATCATCAGCAACAAATGCATAGCCATAGCTCAAGATTTTTCAACATCTTTCAGACAGAACACGATAAGCTATGTAGTGACCTAAGGACATGTATCCAAAATTTTCTTTTCTTCTATATAAGCCTAATGGGTAAGTAATACTGTGGGGTTAAACACTAGTATTCTGCCAGAACAACTGGTCCATGCCTTCTTGGCACCCTGCTTATGACTTTCCCCCTCAGCTTTACCTACGTGTGTATGGAAAACAAGAACAAACTCACCCTCACAGTGGGATGTTTCCCTGAACAATTTGGAAGGAGAGAGGCAGAGGCAGGACAGCTCATGAAGATTCTTGCCTCATGAGTTCTGTGAGTTGGTCTAAATATTTAGCCTCCTGCTTTGACTCACCAAGAGTGTTTAGGGCACAGTTCAATGTTAGCCTGTCTCTTGAAAAATTCAGTAACGCCCTCAGCCCTCCCCTCTGTTCTTACCCCACTGAAACATATGAGAGCACAAACATTTTCTGAGGAGTCTTCTTGAGTGTAGGGCAGTGGACTGACTCCCAGAGGCATAACTTCAAGGCATTCCTGGGGCCTTTCTTCAGATTCAGAGTCTGTCCTCCTCTGAAAGGACGCTAAAATCTGATTCAAGAGTCTCAGTATTCTGGTTTCCACACAGCTACTGGGAGAAATATCAGAGCCTACATTAAAATACACACAAGAGCCGCTACAACTTTCAAGTTTGTAAGCACTGTAAACGTAGAAACAGGAAAGCACCTTGACCTGGAGTCCAGTAGCCGCACACTGATGTTGGAAACCCCCTCACACCAGGCCGTGAAGATGTAGCCAGAGATTTCCCACAGGTGGCGTGGAGCCTCCTACCCAGCATGCATGCGCACAGCACCCAGCCAATCAGCAGAGTCGTTCTTTGAGTGTGGCTTTTCTTCTCAAATCCCAATGAAGGTGTGATCCTGACTTCGGAGGTGCTGAGGGAGGTTGCAGTTGTGAAGGCGGTCCTCTGCTGGGAGACCCGTAGTCCTGGGCCAGGCACGAGGAGCGGTGAGAGTGTCCTTGAGGAGTCTGGAGCACAGGCTACCGCTGAGGGAAAAGAAAATCCTTGGCTTGGCCTTCCGTGTGGCTTCTAACTGGAAAATGGAGGCTGGGAACCCGTGAGGGCGGGGCCTCGAGCAGGGTGTCCACCTGGAGGCTGGACCGCCTGGGAGGATGGGGACTTGGGAGGAAGCCACTTTGGGGGCTGCAGGAGGGTTTGGGGTAGAGTAGGGGCAGGGCGAGGCTGGGACCTGCCTGTGAGCTTGTGTCGCCATCACGGGGGAATCCCTTAGAAACAAACTGGGGATCCTCCTTTTTCTCTAAGTGATGGTGCAAAGCCAGAGTGGGGAAATTTAAACATTAAACCCAGAATGTCTTGAAGTCAGGTTGTTGCTGCCTCAACCTCAGAAGAGCTGGGGTCACAGGCATGGTGCCTTCCAGTTCTCTTTTTTATATGCTGTTTTGGGTTTTGGAGACAGGGTCTTAGGGTGTACGCCAGGCTTGCCTTCAAGGTCACATGTAACTCCCCCAGCCTTGAAACTTGTGTCCTCAGTATTATAAGTGGTATAACTGAGGCCTAAGGAATTATGACTGGATATTTAAATTTCATTGTTGATGGTTTATCCTGTGGCCCCTTGTAGGCTCAACATGTGCTGTGACACTGAAATACTACCCCAGCCCTTTGGAGTTTATATGTTGAATTAGGATTGCTGCAAATAGGTTTTTAGCATGCTTCTTATAATTGCAACATTGATTTTACTTTGAGATTGAGATATGGATTTAGAGATTTTTCCAATTTCCCAAGAATCTAGCAGAGAGGAACTAAAATGCAGATACCTCAGGGATTATGTATAAAGTTGGAAGTCAGAGCTGAAACCATTTTTTTTTCTTCTTAAGTTGACTAATGTCAAACTCCAATTTTGGTCCTACAAAATAAGGAAACTACTAATATTTTAATCATTTTTATTTGATGTTCTTTTATTTTACATGTTATCAGCTTATGTAAGTGATTTCATATTCAGATGGCTTGAGAGATGTTTCGTATTGTGTTTCTTTGTGGACAGGAAGAACTCTCCACTCATGGAGGATCCAGGATCAGCAATCCATGATTTTGAAGGACAAGATCAGAATGCTTCAGAGAAGGGTGTTACTAAAGGTACCAGATATCTGATGTTTGGACATTGATGCTGCAGTTCATCTGTTTGAATCTGCTACATTTTGACCTGAGTAAAGACTTTGTGAAGAATTTTTATATGCTCTGTTTTCCAGCTGATCTTCTTAGATCTGTACCCACAGTCAAAAAACTCATAGTATCTCTTTTCTTTGCAGTCCCAACATGTGGATATAAAACACAGAAATTATTATAAACTTTCCCGGAAATATGGAACAACTTGTTTTCCTAAAAGAATTATAAGTCATCGTATGATTTCATCTAACAGATATATAAATTCTGTATTTTGTCTCAAAGTTAGATGAAAAGACAAAAGACAAGAGACACTATGTGAGTGTTTTTGGGTTTTTGTTTGTTTGTTTAATGTGAGTACAGACCTAAAACTAAAGCATCAGGCACACTGCCAACATTAGGTTTTAAGACAGATATATGCTTGATGTTTCAAAATATTAGGTATTTCATTAAAGTTTACCAAAATCACATATGTAGTTTAAAAATCTTGTGTTTTTTTTATCAATACAGAACAGAGCCCAGTAATTGATAAGCATGAGGTGAAGAGTTCTGCAGGAATACTTGGAGATACAGGGTAATACTTTCAAAATTATTTTAGCCTGTTCCGTAAAGTATTTCAAGAGTGTTTAATCGTGTGCCTAACAATTAATGTATATAAATATATGGCATGTGACATTTATTCCAAACTAAGTATGATATCTTATTCATCCCTAGGTAAAAGGTATATCTAGCAGTAGAGTAGTAAGGAGAGTAGTACTGGGTATCAAAGCATTGTCTTCATGTATGTGGGGTGATAACTCAGAACTGAATTGCATCTCTAGCAGATGTAATTTTCTACGTTTTAATTTCTTGACAGAGCTGAAGTACAGAAAATCCTGGAAAAATTTGGAGGTGCGTTTTTAGAGATACTAATAACTTAAAGATAATTAATTCAAACTATCTAGCATATTATATATTTTAAACTGCATAATATAGAAGTACTATATATGTCTGTCGTAATAGGAAATGCTAAGTCAACATGCTATGAATGTTATTTAATATTCCCTTCTTATTTACAGAATTTTGTAAATGTTTTTGATTTAGCATCATAACTATTTTTTAAATTTAATCCATGGCATGAAAAATGAAAAAAAAATTTTGACATCTCTGACCTTGATGGAATTCTTTTTGTGTGTTTGTGTGCGTGGTGTACGTTTGTGATCCATGCCCACATATGGGTGATGGCATGCACACATGCCGATGCCAGAAGAAAACACTAGGTGTCCTGCTGTATCACTCTCCACCTTATGGAGAATCTACCTTGAGACACAGGCCCTCACTCAACCTGGAGCTAGGCTGGCATCCAGCAAGCCCTAGTAATCTTCCTGTCTCTGTAGCCCACAGTGATGACATTAAAGGAAAGGGAAGGAACGCCTGGCTTTTCACATGGCTGTTGGGATTCAAGCTTGGATCCTCATGCTTCCCCAACAAACACTTCTATCTGCTGGGCCAATTCCACACTCTCCTTGATGAAATTCTAGAAGAAAAAGAGACACAAACACTTTTTCCCAGTTGCATATATTCCCAGACTAAGAAAAAAGTACACCAATTCTCTATGTGTGTCAGGTTTTCATTTATTCTGTGGGTTAGATTTCCATTAACTCAGTTTGCTAGGACTCTGTGTTTGTTCCTTATAAGCAATAGTGCAATATTGAAACCTCTAAAATAACCACTCATCATGATACTTATGAAAAATTATGTGATTAAAAGTGAAAGATAAGTCTACTAGCTGATGAGAGGGTGAAAAAAAGGTCTAAAAGAACGTAGATATTTTTTAACTTTTATTTTTTTATTTCTTTTAAATTTAATTTTTTAAATAACCACATGATTAGAACATTAAAACAGCTTTGACATATTCAATAACAATTTCCAGAGCAAAGATACATCTCTTTCAAAAATGTCTGTAAATTTTTTGGTTCACAATTAATACAGTTATACAATTTTGAACTCAGTATAAACCCTGTAAGACATAAAATTGAATGAGATTTACCATTTAAAGAAGATATCCATTTCATTTTAAAATATGCTGTTTCCTACTAATCATTATTTTTAAATTTTTAATAGCTACATGATTAGAAGAAGCATTTCATGCTAAAGAACTTAGATTTTTAAAAATTTATTTATTTATTGTTTTTATTTTATGTGTATGAATGTGTTGCCCGCATGTGTATCTGTCGTGCCCCTGTGTTATGCAATGCCCAAGGAAGTCATAAGAGGACCTCAGATCCCCAGAACTGGAGTTATACATGGTTGTTAGCTGCTGGGTGCTGACAATCAGAGGGAGTCGTCTGCAAGAACAGCCAGTGCTCTTAACCTCTGAGCCATCTCTCCAGCCCCAAGAACTTACGTTTTAATTTCTATGTTAAGAGCTACATGAGCTTTCTTAGAGAACAGTACTTTTTGGTTGTTTTTGATATACAATCTCTCCTTGTACCTCAGGCTCACAAGTAAATTCCTTTGTAACCAAGGCTGATCAAGGCATCGGGCCTGACTTAGGAAATATTGTTTTCTAAAAATTTATATTTGAGGACTAGAGGGATGGCACACTGGTTAGGCCACTGGCTGTTCTTACAGAAGACTGGGGTTTGCATCCCAGCACTCACATGGCAGCTAACAACTTTTTGTAACTCAAGTTCCAGGGGATCCCATGCCATCTTCTGTCCCCGGGGAGCATTGCCTGATGAAGGTTCACTTACATACATGCCAGCATAACACTCACACACATAAAATCAAAATAAAGATAAAAAAATTGGATTTGGCTCTTAAATACCATTGTCATGAAGTCTTTTTTTTTTTGAAAGACTGAAAGATATGCTCTACTTTGGGCCTGCAAAGTGCTTGTTGTGTAGTATTATACATGTTGGAAATACTAAGCATTTGTACTATAGTACAGCTTAATAATGGTTACTGAAAGGTGACTGTGACTTTTTACAGAAGACATACCTATTAGTTTATAAGCTTTAAAATTGATTTTAAGAAACTGCTGTATTTAGTGGGAACAATGTCCTATAGACCTCCATGAAATTATTTCAGACTGTTGTTGAATGAATTATATTGATATTTACATAAATGTTTTTGTTTTTTTCTGTTTAAAAATATATTATTACTGTGTTTAGACAAACAATTTTATGACTTAACTATCCATTTTGAATCTTGGTTGAGTATTTTAATGTATTTATTTAAATAATGATTTCTAACAATAATGTACCCAAATATTTCTTTTCCATTGGATGGTATTTTATAAATTTAGAAATATTTAGCATTTGTTAAAGGACTTCCTCATGAAGAAATTAAATTGTATCCTTGATCCTTTGTTTTGTATATTTGTTCTTTTTCAATGTGTATTTTTATTGAGTTTTTGTGCATTTCATATAATAGATCTTAATGCAATTTAGACCCACTGTCCTACGTTCATCCTGTGTAGACCCCTCGCACCAGATTCAATGCATAATGCATATGTCAAGGCCTATCTAGTCAAGCGTTTGTACCCAAGTGTCCCTTGGTGATGCATGTTCATCCACTGGAATCTAGTCACCCTATTTATCATCATTCCCTTAAAGATCAACTCTGCCTCACCCTGTAGTAATCAGTTGCCATTAGTTCCTCAGCTAAGGTTGGGGACTGCTCCCCATTTCCCCAGTTCTGTGCTGGATTTTTGTCCGTTGAATCATCATGGGTCTTGTGAATGCTTTCACCATTGCTGCAAGTTCGTAAGAGCAAGTTCCCAGAAATTTGGAAGACTCTGTTTCATTATGTTTATGTACCATCCTGGCGCTTATAATCGTTTTGCCAAACAATGCCCCCCTTCCACAATGGTCTTTTTTGTTCTTTTCTGTTAAGTATTCCTGAATTTGAAAATGATCTTCTTTTAGTAAAATCAGAATTGGGATGCGGTTGGGCATTTCTCACCTAAAAATATGAGCCCAGAGTTTTGTTTATTTTGGAATATTTGCATAGAATTTATAAAAAAAAACCCAAAATCTAAAATAAGAACATTTGGTAACCATGTTGTGGTACCCTTTCAGTTTAATTTTACATCTCTTTGGATTTATTGAATGTACTTACTGACATTTACACTTAACGGTATATGTGAGAACAACTGAAGTTTCTGAACGTTAAACTTTATTTTCAATGCAGAAGATGTTCACAGTATTCTTCTTTCAAAGAGAAGAAGCATGGAGGTGTTTACCAAAGAGTCTCTCAAGGATAGTACCCAGAAAATAGAAGAGCTTTGGAAAACATACCAAAGCAAAAGGTAAGGTAATCTTAGTTTTAGCCAACCAGATTAGCATTGTTTTTTAAATTACGCATTGCTGAATTAACTTATGTAAAGCACAGTCATCTTATTTGCGTCTGTATTAAAAATCTTTGGCCTAAATTTCTCTAAGCATTTAATCCTCTAACTTCATGCCTTCATACACATTAGGTATAATTCCGGACTTCAGAGATGGCTCACTAGTTAAGAGCACTTGCTGATCCTGCAGAGAACCTGGATTCAGTTCAAAGCACCCACATGTCAGCTAACCACCACTGACCATAACTCCAATTCCAAGGGACCCAACACCATCTTTTGACCACTGCTTACATGTGTACAGGGAAACACTCCTACACATAATTCGCAAATAAATTTTATGCAAAAGTAATGGATAGAATTCATAGAAGTCAGTGAAAGTTGCTTTATTATGCATGTAAGTGGCTGTTGGTGGAGATCATTTTTATAATTAATTTGCATTCATTCTAGAAAGACGGAAGTTGAGCAAAAGATCTTAGTAATTTAATTTAGGGTTAAATATATTTGAGGACACCATTAAAGCTCAAGTACCTATGTTACATATATGTTTCCTGTCAGGTTATTGTCACATTGTTATTTTCCTTCCTTCTTATAGTAGAAAATTCTCAATTCACATTTAAGTTATATGTTCTTCTACTATTGTTATGAAATATAACAGTATTCTTTATTTTGTTTTACAGGCAGAAGGTTAACAGTGAATTTTCTGAGAAGTTTGAGACTGTGTTTGAGCAGTGGAATCTTCATAAGCAGGAATTAGAGGAAGAAACAAAAGAAGTAGCTGTTGGTATCACAATTAACTTCATAATTGATCTACTATACCTCAGTATCAAGTAGGAATAGAGAAGCTAGGCTGGTCTTGGGCTCATGGAACTGAGCCAGGTTTCATTATCCATTATTGTTCTCCTACTGAATTGTAAACCACAGAAGTATAGGTATATTCTATACTAATACAAGCCATTGGGCCTCTTATACAAGTAGAAATCTTGAAGTTTCAAAAAGCAGGAATTTGATGGAATATAAAAGGAAGATACTAGTTATATAAAAGAAATGTGACTACCTATCCTCAGACACAGTTGGATGGGGATAGAGAAGAGTTAATTATGTGGTGCCCTTTGGTCTCTGTTAGTTCTTTTGTTTGTTTGTTTGTTTTTTGCAACAGCGTCTCACTATGTAGCCCTACATGACCTGGAGCTGACTATGTATGCCAAGCTGGCCTTGACTTCACAGAAATCCAACTTCTTCTACATCCAGAGTGCTGTCATTACAGATGTGTGTCACCACGCCTCAGTTAAGGTGCTGGTTCTTGGAGGACTTACTCAAGTTAGTAAATTAGCCCTTCCAATCTAAGATTTACTACAGATTTCGTATAAGCAGTGGATGGCAGAATATTCCCATGGAGGAATATCACTGACCTATTTCAGATCCTGTCTCCATTACAGAATCAGTCACCATAGTCAGTACATGGTTTCCTCTTTCCTTCCTTCCATTCTGGCTTGCTTGCTTTATTTATTTCTTGCTTTTTCCTTTCAGTGTTAGAGAATGAATTCAGGGCCTTGTGCAAGCTAGGCAAGTACTTTTCAGTAAGCTATATCACCAGCCCACAACCTACTTACTCTTAGTGCTCACACTTGCAGCAGTAGCTCTCCATCCCCAGGTGAGATGGAAGCACTACGCTTACTGTGCAGTATTACCTAATCTTTAAATGTCTCTTTACATTCATTCTTCTGATCCATTTCTTTCAAAACATATGCCAAATATTGATCACTTCTGGTAATTTTTTATTTGAATGGTTAGCAGAGTTTAATAAATGTTAAATTTGAGATGCAGAAGAGACTCTTCCTGGAAAACGTTGAGTAAGCACTGGTATACAAGTCTGGAGTTAAGAGGGAGATAAGGGCTAAAGACATAAGATAGCTAATCTTCAGCTTAAAGGCAATTTTTGAGCCACAAATACTGGATGAAATCACCAATGGTTGATTGACCCCTGCAGTGCTTCAATCTTCAGAGTTATAAGGGGTGAGAGGACCCAGTAAAGAACAAAACCAGTGGCCTCATGGGTAGAACGTAAACTACCACACAGGAAATAAACCTTTTCAAAGAAAACTCTATTAACCGTGTCGTAAGAAGCTTATGTGCCAAGTAAGTTAGACTTGTGGCTGGAGAGATGGCTTGGGCATTTACATCCTGTAAAAGACTAGGATCTTTTCCCCCCGACTGATACAGAGTCCTAGACATGGTGAGGTACAACCGTGATCCCACCCCTGGTGTTAGGGGAGGAGACAAGAGGATTCCTGGAGCTTGAGAGCCAGCTATTCTAACCATGTTGATGACCTCTCAGTGCAAAGAGAGATGCTGCCTCAAAAAAACTGGAGAATGACTGAGGAAGGCCCCTTATGGTGACCCTTAGGCTCCATGTGTAAGCACACACACAAGCACAGGAAAACATAGAGGTTTTGTTTAAAAGAAATGTCGATTTGGACATGTGGAAGTCATTGTCCCTAAGCACAATTCTGAGTGGAATACTGAGTGCAAACTGATTCCCGTCAATATAAGAAATACAGCAAAGAATAGAAGGTAGCAGCTTGAGTAGAAAAGCCTGTGTTTAATATTTTTCTTGTGTTACTGGAGAGTAGAACCTAAGGGCTTAGGCATGCAGGAAACAAGTTCCCTACTGAGCTTGTCCCTGGAAATCTATTTTCAGTTATTGCTCAGTAAATGAATCAGCAAAGCTGGCCAGGGTCTTACGATCATTCTGCATTTCCCTCTGTAAAACCAAGTGTTGTAGGCCTACAGCCCCAGGCCAAGTAAGAATTAGAAATTCATAATCCGAGAACAGTATAGTTGGCAAATTCTTGAGAATGGATGGACAGGTACAGGGGCTGAACTTAGCAAAGAACAAGTGTAGGACATCCTTAGAAACGGGAGAGAAGGAGAACATGTAGAATGTAGCTCACAGAGCTGCAGATGGCTGGTAGGTGATGGACACTGAACCTTCTCTTTCACTGCTTCTGTGTTCTCAGTGCAGTGAAATAACCAGACAGTGAATGAATGTGTTGCCTTGATGTAGACTACTTACTAGAGTTGAAGATTTTTAGTATACAGCATTTAGTCAAGTAAATGTCTGGAATACTCTATACTCGTAATTCCAAATACTTTGGAGACTGAGGCAGGTGGATCGTGAGTTTGAGGCCAGTCAATACAAGTAGCAAGACTGTCTCAAAATTTTCTTTTCTTATACTGTGACTGATAGGATGATTTCACTGCATATTAATGTAAAAATACAGGGTATGATTCTCCCTCCCTCTGCATCCAATAATTGCCAGTAGTTGTTCATCTAGAGATGGGTCCTTGTGTAATTTACCCCCATCCAAATTGGAATGCCAACTGGTGGTTCATTTCTGCAGGTCTTTTTAAGGCAGCCATATTCTGGAGTGTTGATGGGTGAAGCTCCCATGTCTGAGAGGATATCCAGCCCTTCATGATTAGCCCTAAGCTTATGTACACTGTGCATAGGAGCACCACTGAATCAACTCAGTTGAGCATATATGAGTGTGTGTGAGTTTGTGTGTATTTATTTTTATGTAACAATAATAATCAGAGGAGGTCTTTAAATTGAGAGGGGCAATGTCTTGAAGAGTTGGAGGGGAGAGAAAAGGGGTGAAAATGATGTAAATATAGTACTCATATATGAAATTCTTTAAGAAATAAAATGAAGCCGGGCATGGTGGTGCACACCTTTAATCCTAGCACTCTGGAGGCAGAATTGGGTGGATCTCTGTGAGTTCAAGGCCAGCCTGATCTACATAGTGAGTTCCAGGACAGCTGGGGGCTACTGGGCGACCCTGTTTAAAAAAGACCAAAAAAATAAAAAATAAAACTGCAAACTATAATTTTCTCATAATAATTATTAAACAAAAATGCTTAAAGTATCTGTTTGATACTTCTTTTCATATGCATATGGATTTCTTTGCTTAATTTTATGGTTTGTGCCTAGAGATATGTCAGCTCTCAACTGTTGGCCTAGCATGCATGTTGTACAAAAACAAAAATCAAAACAAGTTGTTATTTTAGAGATTTTCTTCCCCATTTTTAGAAAAACATTAAAAGACAACAGAAGATTTCTAAGCTATCTAAAGTGGGAACAAAGCAGGGACTGGCGTTGATCAGACTGCTCTTTGAGAAGTTCTTTATGGTGAGTTGCACATCATAGCATCCTGTATCCTTATAAATCTGCATATTGGTCATGTGTCTATATGATTCAACTACTGTCCATTCTGTATTATTTCCCATGGGCATAATTCCTGTATCTGCAGAATTCTGCTGGTTTTGTAGTTGCTCAAATCAAGGAAGGGTAATTAGAGTTTTGCCTGAAATGTATATCATAGTTGGTTAGCAGTTTAGTCAATCGCTGGTGTCTTAGTTTGTTCTTCATTGCTGTGAGAAAACACTCTGACCAGTACCAACTTGGGGAGGAAAGGGTTTATTTGTCTTACATCTCCCAGGTCGCACGCAGTTCATCAGGGAGCCCAAGGTAGGAAACTCAGGGCAGGAACTTGGAGGCAGGAGCTGGAGCACAGGCCATGGAGGAACGCTGCTTACAGGCTTGCTCCTTTGGCCCCTCCTCAGCCTGCTTTCTTATGCAACACCGGCCCACCTGCCCGGGGGTGGCACCACCCACAGTGGGCTGGGCCCTCCCACATCACTCATCAAGAAGATGCCCTTCAGACATGGCCACAGGCCAGTCCAATAGAGGCAATTTCCCGATTGAGGCTCCCTCAACCCAGGTGTGTCAAGTTGACACTAAAGCTATCCAGCACAGCTGGTTAACTGAAAATAGCATGTCTATATGTCATTTCTCCATGGTCCTTTGTCTCTGCATTCTCAGTACTTTTTCAAGACTCAGTGTATTTCTTGTTTTAGGGTTTGGACAACTTGGAATACAAGACTTTTCAACTTACTGTGGCAGAAAGTGAACTTAAAAAAGAAATTTCGGTGTTTGAAAAGAAACTTACACAAGATACTGTAAATTGCATCTCAGATTCTATAGCAAAGCATTAATGGAAGCACTGAAATGTTTCATTTGCTAGTATATGAATAACAATTCAAAATGTAAAGATATTTTCATCTTCTTTCATAAACCAAAGCAGCAAGTGATTACAAATGCTCAACAGTCTCTTCAATCTCTGTTATTCTGATAGCACTTATAAGAACTTGAATCTGAGTAATGCGATTTAACTAGAATATTACATGAGGCATGTCTTTGATTTAACTGGTTTGATAAATCACTTAAGTGCAAGACCCTTCTTCCTGTTAACATCCAAATAAAACCTGAACAGCTCTGTCAGCAGCAAATATTCCCTTGTACCAGACTTTCAGATCTTATTCGAATAGTGATTTTTTTTCTTTCTCACAATGCTAATTTGTTTTTACCAATAAACATGATATAAATTCAAATTTTGGCTTCGGTCTATGGCTTATCAGTCTTCACATCCTAATTACAAGTATAGAAAGCTATGTTGGGTTGTTTGGTTTCATATGAGATGCTTTGAAACAGGTAATTACCATTCAATGCAGGCAGGTCTACAACTTCTGGTCTTAGACCACAGTCTCACAAGAAGGCTGTATTAAGGTTTGTGTTTACATTGTTATTCTTTAAGAAAAAAAACCCACAGAATCCATTTAGCACATGCATCCTTTTCTAAATATATGTGAACTTTTAACACGGCATATTCTACGAAATGAAAATCTACCGTATTAACTTATAAAATTGATTAAAAGAATGTAAGTTTGTGTCTTGAAACAAATAGAACTTCTAAAGTGATTAATACTATTGAAATATTTATAAATAGTAGTTATGAGACATGGATGAGACACTTTCATGAATACATAAAACGTCACTTCACTGGACATGGTCTGCAGGTCCATGGCACCGCCCTAAATTACTGATTATGAGCATGTGATGAAGGGAGCTGCTCACTCAGGTTGAGATTCTCCACATGAGTCTTCACACACAAATTCCCCTAAATCACTTTCTTGTTGAACTTCAGCAACGGTATAATTAATAATACATTATTTTTTAAACCAGAATTTTTCACTTTTTTTCCAAATTTCACCAGAATCTTTATTTCCTTTCTTTAATATACAAACACCTGTACACTTTTTTTAGAAGACAAATATAGAAAATCTATATAATACTGGATTAGGAAACTCTTACTTTGTTCATTGTAATATACATTTCTTATTGAATTTTTGGCCTTTTCATATAATACATTTTGATCGTATTTAAACCTACTCCCCTGTCTGTACTGCCTCCCCCGCCCCAAAGGCCTCGCCACTGGAATTTACATATTCTGTCACATATGTTAAGACCTGTCAAGTTTGTGTCTCTAGATGTCCCTTGGTTTATGTTCATCCCCTGGAACCTTGTCAGTGTATCTAGGGTCACTCCTTTAAAGAAGACCAACTCACACCCAGCAGTGATCAGCCAGCAGTAATTCCTCAAGTAAGCTTCTGGCTTGTTATCCATTTCCCACTTCTATTCTGGGTTTACGTCTGGTTTGAACTTCCATGGGTCTTGTACATGCTGTCACCATTGCTGTAGTTCATATGAGGAAATTCCCAGAAACCTGAAAGCCTCTGTTACTTATGGTCATCTACCAGCCCTGGGTCTTTAAATCTTTCTGCCCTGTCTTCCACAGTGATCCCTAAGCCCTTGTTGGGTGAGTTGTAATATGAATTCTGTTCAGGGACACACATTCTGCAGTTTCTTTTTAATTTGAGATTAAAAAAAATTGTGTGTGCAAATGAATTGCCTGCATATGTGTAAGTACACCTGTGTCATGCAATGTCCCTGTTGGTCAGAAGGCGGCATTGGATTCTCCTGGAACTTGAGTTACATACAGTTGTTACCAGCCTTGTGGGTACTGGGAGTTGAACCAAGGTCCTGTGCAAGGGCAGCCAGTGCTGTTAACTGATGAACCTTCTCTCCAGCCCTCTGTAGTCTCTTTTACTCTGCATTTTGGCCACTTGTTTCTTCCTGTGTTAATCACCCTCTGTTGCATGAGAAGCTTCCCTGGTGAGAGCTTAATTTTATGCCTTGTCATTTAAATTATTCATGACTTGGGTTAGAGGTATAGCTTGGCAGTTAATAGCACATTTGATGTTGCAAATGAACCAGGTGGTGTTGCCAACACCCATATGGTATCTATCAACCAACCATAAAACCAGTACAGAGTATAGGACGCCCTCTCCTGTCCTCTGTGGGACCTGCATGTCATGGGTGTATGTACATTTATGCAGGTAAAATAGTTGATCACATGACATGAAAGTGAATATAAGCATTTTATATACATAACATAGAAAGCACAGAACAAGTTGTTTCACAAATAGTCCTTTATTGCAACAGTTCTTTAACATCAAACATACTAAATTGGGCTTAAATTTTTCTTCAATGAATGAATCATTTGAAAGAGCATTACAAAAATACTATTAGAAGAAAAAAAAATTCTTGTTTTCCCACGTGTAAATTCGGTTTTACCTCTGTATCCCAAATTAGTTAAAATTCAAGTTCAAATTTCAAAAATGGCATTCAAATATTCTTCTTTTTAATTGATAACATCTACAGGAAAGTGCTATTTCTTTGCCATTAGTAAATACTTAAAAGCAAGAGGGAATTTAAATTCCTTGTGTGTGTGCTCGTGAAGGATTAACCCCGGGCCTCACCCACGCTAATCATGCACTCTTCCACTTAGTTGTATCTCTGGTTCAGAATGAAAGTCTTGTTTCCTTGCTGAAATTTACAAAGTTTCCTAATGATTTCCCTGCTACTTGTGCCTTGTGATATACGTGTGTGCTTCTCATGATGTATTTCTAAGCCCAGACACAGGTTTGAGACAATTTCTGTAACACGTCTTGTGGATACTATTGGAAGTGCTCACACGTCCTCATCTGTGCCCTGCAACATGAGCACCAGAACACACATGCACACACACACACACACACACACACACACACCCCACAAATCATTACATTCACCCAGTAAATAAATAAATAAACAAATTTTATGGTATTTAAACCTTTTTCTGTGGTATGCATTCAGGATGATGAAATTAGGGCCTCTAGCAGTTGGCTCATAGAGTAAAGGGTCGGGTCGCCATGCCTGGTATTAGAGTTCAATCCCTAAACCCACACTGCGGAAAAAGAGATTTGATTCTTGATAGAAATTCACTTAAACACACAGATACAATAAATAAATACATAAATAAATCTAAAAGTCAGAGTTGTTGTATGCATTCAGCATGGTGTAATCAGGGCTGGCAAGGTGGCTTAGGGAAAAGGTAACTGCAGCTAAGCCTGATGCCCTGAGCTCAAGCTGGGGGTGGGGGACAAATAGCAGAACAAGAGAACCAGGTTGTCCTCTGAATGCCATACCTTTGCACTGGTAAGTGGCTTGGTTTATTTATTTTTTTTTATGTGTGTGTATAGTCTGTGTGCAAGTATGTGCACATGAGTGCAGGGGCCCAGGACACCAGAGGCATTGGAACTCCCTTGCGTCTGAGTTACAAGCAGGTGTGAGTAGCATAACGTGGGTGTTAGCATCAGAAATCAGATCCTCTGAAACAGTAGTAGGAAGTCTTAACTACTGAGCCCAAGAAATAAGGTTTTTCAATACCTTTTTGTTATATGCATTCAAGGTGGTAGTATACGGGCCCTTAAAATGGCTCATTGTTTACAGATCTTAGAATCTGGAGATCTGGATTTTCCTCTGGGTCCAAATGGTGGAAGGACAGGATAAGCTGGGACTTGGTCACAGGAACTGGCACACACCAATACACATACACACAAAATACCACACTAACACAGAAATACACAATAAAAAAATAGATTACAGATAAGATAGATGACAGATACATAGATGATAGATAGATAAATGTAAATGTAGATATTTTCAGTGGTATCCGTGCAAGGTATTGAAAATAGGGCCTCCATTTGGGACACTGCGTAAACCTGATAATTTGAGTTCCAGTCTTGAACCCACATTTTAGTAGCAGAGAATTGAATTTTGAACTTAGTCACTGACTCATACAGACACAAGTAACACATAAATTTATACAGACATGCATGAGTAAGATTTAAAAGCCCAGCTGCTCGTTGCTGTTATGTACACTCAGTCTGTTGTGGTAAGTTAGACTGGCAAGGTGACCCTGGGTTAAGGATTCCTGCAGCCAAGTCTGATGCTCTGAGCTCCGGCAGGGGTCCACACAGTAGAAGGAAAGAATGAACTCGGAAGTTGTTCTTTGACTACCAGATTGTTGCAAGTAGTAGAGGAGCACAAGCACAGATATCCACATAAGAGCAACCAAATAATAAAAGGAAAAAGATTTTAAAAATCGTTTTCTATATAATGCTTTAAAGGTGGTGGAATTAGGGGCATGGAGATGGCTGACCTGTATAGGTACTTCCTGCCAAGACTGAGGATCTGAGTTTGGTCCCTCAGAGCCAAATGATGGAAGGAGAGTGCAGACTTCTGCAAGCTGTCCTCTGAACTCTACATACATGTACTGTGTCAAGCACACACTTGAAAAATGCATAAAGAAAGAATTTTTATGTTACAAAATATTGTCATTAGTATGCACTCAAGGTGGTGATATTAGGGCTGGTGAGATCACTCAGCAGGTAAAGGATCTTGCTCCCATGCCCGACAACTGGGATTCAAGCCCAAAATCAACATGACAGAAGCAAAGATACTATTTCTGAAACTTGTTTGCTTACCCACTCAGATACACTAAATAAATAAGTGAATAAACAAATAAAATGGACAAAACTTTAGAAAGACTCTTTTGTTAAATGTGTTAAATAGGGTGGAATTAAAGATAGTGAGATGTTTCATCCAGTAAACGTACTTGCTGCCAAGCCCGGTGCCCTGAACTCCAGCCCCAGAACTCACAAAATAAGAAAATTGACTCCAGCACGTTGTCTGTGACTGTCAAACATGTGCAGAGGCAAGAGACCAAAGTCCCCCCACCAAAAGCAAATGAATAAACCAATGTGGAAAAAAAATTAAATTAGTGTTCTGTTATGTGAATTGAAGTTGATTGATTTAGTCCGAGATGGCTCAGTTGTTAAGAGCTCACACAGCCAAGCCTGACAATCAGAATTCAAGTCTGAAAACCCCGGACTAGAAACAATTGATTTCTAAAACTTGTCCTCTGACATCCAGAAGCAAGCCGTGGGTGGGCTCGATGCCCCCAAATACAGAACAAACAACAACAACAAAATAAATGTGATTTTTGTTTTAAGGGTTCAAGATTATGGATTCAGGAAGGTGGAGATTGCTCAGTGGTGAAGGATGATTGTAACCAATATTGACCAGAGCTCCAGTCCATGAATTCATGGGGTGAAACAGAGAAACACTCAAGTTGCCTTTGACTGACAGATCTCTTCAGT